TCCAGATTCAGCCGCGGTTGAAATTGATCAGTTTCAGCAGCGGCTGACGCCAGTTCCAACTTACATACAGATTCAACTTAAGAACAAACCTACAGTCCCTATCTTGTACGTAATCCAGGGACTGCCTGTACTTAACCATTTATCCTTTATACAGATAATGCCTGTAGTCACTTTTCAGGCTATGTGACAATATTCATGTCCAAAATGATCTGATGTGAACTTTATTTTTATTCCTTCTATTATTCTTCATTCTTTGTATCCTTATCCAAAGAACTTCACTTCCTAATGAAGGCATTATAAATATTTGACATGGTCCATTACTGGTCCATTAATTTTTCCCTTTCCATCTATCCTATTTAGAGACAATGTACATGTATATTTGACGTTCTATTTATAAGACTCAATACCAGAGAGTCTAAATATCATACCTTAGTAATACTGTTACTGTTTCTTGATTTTCATATTCTTGCCTTTGCATGAAGGCATTTTAGTACAGGTTGAAACTCTCTTAACCAGGATTCTCTGATCCGGCAACATCCATGGTCCAAGCATAGATGTTGCAGGACCAGAGAGCCCTGGTGGAGGGCAGTGACAAGGATCCCTGCAGGGCCAGCAGAGCAGTGGGCTGCCCACAGTGAGCCCACCATTAGCATGTGGCAGCAGGTCTGCCCAGCGGGATTGGGAGACACACGTATGGCTGTCTGGTGGGGCTGGGAGCTGTGGTAGCTCGGTGGGGCAGGGATCTGTGGCACGCTACTACATGGGATGTAAACCCCACCAAGTAGGTGTGTGGGTTACACTGACAGGCAAGATATTGGAGTTCCAGCCCTGATGGTACCGCTGTCCCCAGTGACCACTCTCATATCTCAGCCTTCCAAATAGCATCCTCTCTGTGGATCTTTAGGGTGAGATCACAGAAGACCCCTCGTGTGTGCCTCACGGAGTCCTGTCATAGCCACTGACACTTGCCTTTCCACTCTCTGAGGCTTCTCACCACCCGGTCCTGCTTGGCCAGCTTTGCTGGTCTCCTCCTGCCAAGACCCCAAGTTGAGATCTCTGCCTCCCTGAGAAGTTGTACAGACACTGAACCTCTTCAGGTCCAAGGAGAGTGCAGTTTTGAGCTCAACTTCCTTGGATACAACTCCCCAAATGGGATCAAAACCCCCAATGAATTACCTGGGTAAGTGTGAGGGGGCGGCACTGCCCACACTGAAGCCCCAGGAGCTCCCCTGGCCCAGCTGGCTGAACAGGCCCCACTCCCATGATCGTGCTGGGCATGCTTGAGAGTAAGGCTTGGGATAAAAGCCCGGGCAGGCAGTCAGTCAGGGGGAATAGCCGGAGGGGCAGGAGCTCAGGGAGGCGCTCCTGTACTGCACCAGCTGCCACAGACGCCTCAGGAGCAGCCCCAGCCGCCGCAGCTGCCCCAGGAGTAGTGCCAGCTGCTGTAGCCACCCCAGGAGCTGTCCCAGCCACAGCCTCAGCAACTGCGCTGGGCGGGGAGACCGTCAGACTGAACTGACCCGGGGAGCTTCACGCAGAGGACGGCACCCAGCATTGGAGGGGGTAGGAAGAAGC